CATCAGTGAAGCAATTCAAGTCAAATTCAATGTTGTGGCCTTTTGGATATAAAGATCCAAGGTCATAAATCCACTTAGACTCTAATTGTGAGATCGCTCTTTTTTTATTTTGTCCTCTCCAATGTGCGTTTATCAGTCCTATACCCATAAATATTAATGATGATGGGTCTTGGTTGTGATGCGTTTTATAATGGAGAGATAATGAATGATCCTTATAGCCCTTTTTGACATTATTCACGTGTTCTTTTAAACGATCTCTCAATCGTCTGGTTGTGCGTCCAATATGGCAATGGCAATGAAGAATCACTTTTAAATTTTTTTCACCACTTTGAATTTTAACTCTCTTAACATCAGTCTCACTTTTAATTATAGTCATGAGAACATTAATTTTCTGGACCTGACTCTGATAAATTTTGAAGGAAGAATTATAACAGTCATTTTTTAAGAAAACTGATAGAAACAGTTTCATTCCCCTGGAAAGCTGCCACCATCCGGCATGGTTGCAGAATATACCAAAGGGCCAGTTTACCAGAATTAGACGCAACTGTACCGATGTTAATACATACTATAAACAGGCTGCCATTATTAAAACTAAGTTCCTTGAAAAGGGTTATGATGAAAATACTTTGATGCAAACTATGACAGAAGTAGGCAATTCTAACAGATTTGATGTTGATGAATAATGATAACAAGAGACCTGAGAGAACCTGTCCTTTCGTGACAGACTATTCAATTCAATATAAGTCTGTCACCAGGATAATTCGTAATAATTGGAAAATTCTTATGTCAGATCCAGTTTTAAGACGATTTTTACCAGATAAACCACAGATCGCTTTTAGAAAAGTTGCTTCGCTGGGGAACAGAATAGCCCCGAATGTTCTCGACCCCCCTATTTATGCTCCTTTCTTTCCTCAAATGAAAGGTTTTTACCCATGTAGAAAGTGCATGATCTGTACAAATAGTAAATTTACAAGCAGACACACAAGTTTCAGTTCTACAGCAAATGGCAGGACCTTTAAGATTGACGACTTTATTACCTGTACAAGTAATATGTTGTTTATCTAATACAATGCTCCTGCCATTTACAATATATTGGACGCACAACCAGACGATTGAGAGATCGTTTAAAAGAACACGTGAATGTCAAAAAGGGCTATAAGGATCATTCATTATCTCTCCATTATAAAACGCATCACAAACCAAGACCCATCATCATTAATATTTATGGGTATAGGACTGATAAACGCACATTGGAGAGGACAAAATAAAAAAAGAGCGATCTCACAATTAGTCTAAGTGGATTTATAACCTTGGATCTTTATATCCAAAAGGCCACAACATTGAATTTGACTTGAATTGCTTCATTGATGACAGTTAATGTGCGTTTACATAGTTCTGAAATTACTGATATTTTTGCCCTGTCTGAGTTGATGTGGTTGATGGTGTCCTATTATTAACAACATCAACATAACGTTTCATTGTGAATTCTATTTTATATATGTTTTTAGGGATTTTTTTTATATATATAATTTTTGGATATTTTTATATTCTTATACATTTTTATGTCTCAGGCTTATTGTACCAGTATTGATGTTTTATTTAATTTTCTGACCATATGGAATTGATTGTTCTATAATGACCTATTTTAAAATATACATTTAATAAAATATGCTAGATTTTAACTGTATCTGTATTATCTACTTCTATCTATTACAACAGAAATGGCCATCGTATAATTATTTATTTTTTAATCGTCTATTATTATGACTTGATATTTATTTTTTTTTTTTTTTATAAAGTCATTAGTGATTAACCACTTATTGACTACTTATACTTAAATTGAAAGCAGAATAAAGATTAATCTTTTTCCCTTAATCTATATTATGTATATTCTGTAACATGCATTTATATATACACTTATATATATACAGTATAAATGCATTATAGTAAATCACCGAGTTCTATCTGGACAGGGGGTTTTTTCGTATGGAGCTAATGCTATCATACAGCATGATGCTCCTTTTTGTTTCAGTAATAATGTTCATCTCTGTCAGTAGCCTGATCGGCGATCATAATACATTCTGCTTTCCCCACCTAGAATATGGCGCCTATCCTGTAAGTCCCATGTATTCTGAATAGACACTGGAGGAATAACTGCATTTCTCCTCAGCGTCCTATGGCAAAATGGCGCCGATCTACTGCGCATGCGCGAGACGTCGGCAAAATGGCCACCGCGACTAGCGCGATTGCCATTTCTGTGTATAAAATAGATGGGGAAGGATGTCCTGCTGTAAGCCCTGATCCTCTGAGGACGTGCATCGCACGAAACGCGTCAGGGGGGCTACAGCTTTTGGACATCTAGCCACTACATGTGGCCAACATTGTATGGTCAGTACATTTTGTTGTTTCACCCTTTTTGGCTAAATAAACCTCAGTCATACAGCATCACACTATGTGGCGTCCTTTATTGGGCTCTCTTTGAGAGCACCACCTCCCACAGTGCCTATCTGGACTAAGGAGTATTTCTGACGCCTACACGGTTTGATGAATCCTGGTTACTGTGCTTCGCGGTGAAACAGAGGATAGTACGGAGTGCGGTCTGACCAGAGCCTTGATGCTGGAGCGTTTATGCAGATTACACTTCTCTACATGCGCGTTAGTTAAACGCACCTCTGGTGAGTGCGCACTCTATCTGCTCCTAGGATTTTTCACCTTTCTTATCACCACTGACCTGGGATGAGGACTTTACGTGTGCTTTAACATTTCTCACGAATAGCGCACTGTTTACCATTGTATCACATTTTTTTGATCACTGGCATTTAGATGCATTTATTGTACTCTGATTTTAGCGCTGCACCTATTTCTCTCCTTTATTTTGATCATTTTAAGGCTGGTTGGTTGCCTTTTTTGGTGTTCTAGCTGCTTATATATATTTCTGTTTGTAGCGCTCGCTATACCATTTCCACACTATCACAGTACCACGCTTTAATTCACTGAGCTCCTGAGAGCGACCCATTCTTTCACAAATGTTTGTAGAAGCAGCCTGCATGCATAGGTGCTTGATTATATACACCTGTGGCCATGGAGGTGATTGATTTGGAGGGCTAGCCCACTACTTTTGGCGAGAGAGAGAGAGTGTCTCAGCATAAATTAGTACATCCCAACAGATTTGTATGGGACACTATACTATAAAATACTCCCACAAATGCGGGCCATTGATTGCAAATTAATAAATCTTGTTTGCACACACACAAAGTATTATTCCTAACAAATTCATTCAAGACCATGATGCAAAAATTACTACACCCAGTGAAAATCTTAGGAGGAAAGCTACATTTTAGACAAAATCCTATTTAACTTGACTACATGTGAGTCTAATTCCTTAAACCGGTATCCAGCAGACCGTTGATTATAAAAGGGCATTACATTACAAAGAAAACCCCTTCCCATTTCATGCTGTCAGCAATGGCACCACATGAAAGAGATGTCACAAGGCCTGAGAAAGAAAAATTTCTTTACACAAGAAAGGTGAAGGCTACAAGACTGTTAGCAAAGCTTTACCCAGTCAGCATACTGTAGTTAAAGTTATACAAAAATTTAAAAAAGATGGAACTGCAACAATCTCACAGAGACAATAGGCTGTCCACAGAAGTTAACACCTTGACAGGAGTTTCTTCTAACGAGAGGGGTTGAAGAAAATCACCATGCATGTTCACTGCAGTTAGCTAAAGAAATAGCCAAATTGGGGTGGTTGTTTCTTGTGACACAATATGGCATACACTGCAGAGGAATGGCATGCATGGATATCATTCACGAAGAAAGCCTCTTCTAAAACCCATGCACAAAAAAACTCGCCTAGAATTTGCAGGGCCCATATTGAAAGACTACTGGGACTGGGTTCACACTGATGCGGTGCGTAATTCGCAGCAGTTTCTGTGCAAATTCCACATCGCAATCGCACCCCTTTCATGCAAACCACTGCGGGTGTGTATGTTAACACCCCAGAATTGGTCCGCAAAACATGGTGCAATGTGCAGAATCAGATCGCATGGGTGTGAATACCTATGCGATCCGATTCTAGTATGAACCAAACAAGACTCCTGCTCCTTTTTGGTGTGAATGCGGTGCAATTTGAGCCATACAATTGTATGGCTCAAAACGCACCGTACAGAATTTGCTTATGGTTTACACGGGAATGAGGTATGGTTCCTGTGTGAATCGTATGCAGTATGCCGCACTGCACAAGTGTGAACCCAGGCTAAAGCTGTATGGCAAGCAGAGGAGTACAAAAAAAATGCAAGGTGCCATAGTGTTCATGGTATCATGAATTTATCATGAATTTACAGATGTATTGCTTTATATTGAAAGATGCTACCATCACTTCTTGCCCTTGGTCATGCATTTTTCCTACATATCATCTGTTCTGAACCCAATCGAACACCTATGGGGAATTCCGAAGAGACAAGTTGAGCATCACTTCCATCCAGCATCCAGGCTCTAAAAGAGAACATTCTTGAAGAATGGAAAAAGATAGATGTTGCAATATGTCGCCAACTTGCTCTTTGCATGTCTAGAAGACTTGGTGCTATCCTTACAAATCATGGAGGTCATACAAAATACTAGATGTAGTTTTTTTTTTTTTTTGTGTTTTGTTTTGTTTTTGTGGGGTGTATTCATTTTTGTATCAACTAATTTGAGTAAAACTGAAAATTTTGCAATCTAGGTTTTATAATATTAACCTTACTTTCATGTAATTGGCTAAAGAAATGTTCTGTACAACTCACTTTTGTCAGAATTTTGGAAATTGTTCTTGTGTTCATTGAGATATTGATCAAAATCTTACTGTTCAAAGTGTGTGTGTGTTTTGACCTTTCTTACTCATCACAATTATATTTACAGATAGTGAATTTTTGTGTGTCTTTTTAACTGCTAAATCTCTGCCTGAAACTGCCTTGTTTTTGTCTGTTAATGATTTAATCCGCTTTCTTTTTATACTTTAGGGAAGCAGCTAGCCCTCCTACAGACTAATTCAGCTGTCAGGACCTGTGGATTTGACTTTGGAGGCAACATCATTATGTTTTCCACAGACAAGCAAATGGGTTATCAATGCTTTGTCAGCTTCTTTGACCTAAGAGATCCATCCCAAATTGGTGAGGATTTAGAACCACTGAGAGCCTGAGTAAAATATAAATTCTTTCATTTGTGTCTAAAATTCATGTATACAGTTATTACCTTAGACATTACTTCAGGACTGTTAACTTCTACCCTTTTTTTTTTCCCCACTTCAAATTTTTTATTTGAAAGGTTTTCACAATTCTAAAGTTACCTTTTTTGATCATTTGTCATCAATAAGTTACCGTAAGAAAAGAGAATGTGTAAATTGTCAGTCCACAACACATACATCATTATGCCAATGATCATTAAGTCAGATAGAATGTGCGTTCTGCAAAGCTCACTGTAATAGAACGGTATTCAAAAAAGAGAGAAGGGAGGAAAAGAGAAAACGAGGAAGAATAAGATGAGGGGCGCAAACAAGGATATTGAGGGGTATTATGCATAAATCAAAAAGGGGAACCCCTTGGGGGTAGTACAAGTGTACAGATTTAGAGGAAAGAGAAGGACCCAGAGTTTCTAATGTGCTTTTTCCTACAGTATTCCTTAAAGAAAAGCATAACTTTTGTGAGGTATAGACATTGGATCAATGGGGACCATTTTTCTGTGCTTTAGCAATAGTTTATTTAGCTGCTAAAAGCATATGTTGTAAGCATAAATTGTGTTTTAGTAAGTTAGGAACGTTTGAGGTGGAGAAGCAAAAGGCTCCAAGTTTAAACACCTTGGTCCAAAACTACCTGGGACATTTCCAAGTGTGAAGCACATCTCCAGCAACATTACAGCCTCTAAAGCATAAATTGGACTGAGCAGGATGCAAGTGTGGCAGTCCATGTACCATCAAGTGAGAACCTTAAATTGTGTTTTAGTGACCAACACATTATTATAACATGGGTAGTGTGGACCAGATTTGTTGTCGGTCTTCTGCTGTCTTGTTACAATTGAGATCGCTCTTCCATTTGAAAACATAGGAAAAGGTAGTTGGTTTATTTGGGAGATTTAATTGTGAATATATGGTGATTAGTTGACACTCGTGTTCTGCATATATTGGAAAATTTTTATGTATGGAATTTGTATACAGCGGGGTGGTAATTAGAGACCAATTTCAAAGTTATTAATAATTATGTATTTTGAAGTTGTATATGCTCTATCCATTAATCGTTCGAGGTCAGGGATGCTCAACCGGTGGCCCACAGAGTCCTCTGATGTGACCCTCAAACCAGGGAAGCACAGTTCTATTATATCCTGCGAGTTTGGTACGTTTTCTGAAAGAGCACTGACGCTTTTGAATGCAGAAGTTTTGGTGCACTTTCAAAATGTGCGCTGCACATGCAAGATATAATAGAAGTCTATGGCAAAGTGCAGCTAACCCGCAATAAAGCCATAGGTACGGTGCAGGTAAACAGCAGGGCATCAGTATTTAATCTGCCTTTATTAAGGGCTCAGGACAGTAAGGGCTCGGTTTTATTTGTGCTTTGGGGGGCGGTTTTTACCATGTGTTTACCACCCATCTCCAACCACTTGTGTAGTGTCAGGGGTCGCAGCGGTGTGCAAGGCGGTCCGTTCGGCCTCTATCACATTCTCTTTTACACTTGGCAGGAGGGGTGGCATATATCAGGAACTGATCTGCAGCAGGAACCCACTGCAGGAGGAAAATGTTCATTATGCTATTCCAAATAAAAAATGTAAAATTCTGAACCATTCCATTTCATTGTGGTCTGCGACTGGTCACCAAATTAACTTAAGTTGCGCTCTTTTCAAAAGGTTGAGCACCACTGCTCTAGGTGATTCCAAGCCAGGTAAAAACAAGTTGCCTATATTTAGAGTAAAAGTAAATTTGATGAAATTATTTTTGCTAAAAAGTTTGGTAGTCCTATATCAGTGTGTGTTTTCAGGCGACTACCATTTACCTTCAGCACTGAACCGTAGGCATTCACAGGTTCAGTTTGGTGTATATTGCTTTTTTTTTTTTTTTCTTGGGCCAATCAGCACTGTCCAGACAGGTCATTGGGTTTCCATCCTAGAGCATAGAGAACTCCTACAAGCTTTAGCTAGTGCTGGGCTGGACACAGAAGCCACAAGACTGCTCTAGTTACTAAAATAATTGCACTTCCATGTTCTTTGTTCTGTGAGAGACCAGATATAGTGGATGCAGGGTCCTGGGTTTAGTAACACTTTAATCACCCGGTCAGTGGTGAATGGTGTGTCTCAGCACTACAAACTGTAGCATCTGCAGGAAAGCTTGTTTTGTTGAAAAATAGACTTAATGGCTGGATCACCAGGTGAAAAAAGAAAGCAAGTATAAAAAAAGGTAATGCAGCCATCACATCCAAGAATTGGTAAGCTGCAATCTAATGTTTTCTTTTGGGGTTTTTTTTACCGCTTTAATGGCTGCAAGGCCAGTACAAATAGGATTGGGGGATATAAGAAAAGGAATAGAATGATAATTGAAGTACATTTTAGTGGTGAGGAATAAACGCTTTTATGCAGAAAAGTAAGTTGGGGTTTGAAACACATTTTTGTAATGTATTTATTTCCATGATGGGGAATGTATATAGAGTCCCAGTACAATTGCCCTGAATGCACTTCTGATGAATCACTTTGCAGGTGTTATCCAAGGCTTACCTATGAGAGAGTAAGCAATGAGATTGGTTTATAATTATGGGGATCAAGGGGATCCTTAGGTGGTTTTGGAAGCATAACACTAGGAGGTAGCAAAGAAGAGGGGTGCATATCAGTGTTGGTACTTGCCCTAAAATATATTATTCATTTTTGGCAGGGTAGGGGTAAAGAAAGGGCTTTAATATGTTAGCAGGTTTGAATACATATATCATATTTAAATTATATGATTGTTGTATAATAGAATTGTTATATTTTATTATGTTTTATTTAGGAATAAATTACTGTGAATCTTGTTATTACTAGTTTATTACATGCATGCAATTTTACCTTGAGTAGCAGACTGGTAAAGTGTGTGCATCTTTTACGGAAATGGATTAACTATGTTTGGTATTATTTATTCATTGTTATCTGCAAGCTGTAGATCATATTTACAGTTAACTGTTGCTGGAAGGGAAAAAGGGCAGCGTTTGATATCGCAACAAAAGTGAAATATTGATGAGTGATTTGGTAAAGCACAGTCTAGTGTAAGCGGAGGCCCAGGAGCTGACAATTCATGAGTTTGAAGCTGAGCTGTGGCTGCCGCTGGCGGCCCACAGAGTCAGCACAAGTACCCTCTCCACCACTGTTCTCTGCTTCATTTGAATTGTTGGAATGTGTATAGTGACTGCAATATTTAACTAATGGGTGTCGAACTTGAATGTTTTAAAAAACAAAAGGTAACTAATATTGCTAAAATATTTGCGCTTTATTAAATTCTTACAGAGCAAGTTATTTTTCACAGCACTGTCACTGTTTGTTTTTCCATATTTTGTAATTTATTTTGCTTTGGCAGATGATAATGAACCATACATGAAGATCAGCTGCAGTGAGTCCAAGATTACTAGTGCTGTGTGGGGGCCGTTGGGTGAGAACGTCATTGCCGGCCATGAAAATGGGGAATTGAACCTGTACAGTGCAAAGGTAAACTAAATGTATTCACTCTGGTAACATAAATTTGTATATTTAGTATTTAGTAAATCATTCTATGGGCTAAATTTTCATGCATGTTCTTGTTCCACCGTTACATTTTGTAAAATAGACCATAAAGCTCTGCTTGGCATGCATATTACCATCCTATATATTGTGTGGTGTCAGTATATAAGTGAATTGCTAGATAACTTGTAAAACCTTTCCTGCCATTTACTTCAAGTTCTGAAGTCAGTACAATGTTAAAAAAAAAAAAAAAAAAAAAAAAAAAAAATTCACTACAATATGATGTTTCTGTATACAGAAGGAATGTATTGGAGAGAAAAAATAAACATATTTAAAATATTTGTTTTTGCAGTCTGGTGAGATTGTCACCAATGTCAAAGAGCACTCAAAGCAGATCAATGATATTCAGGTTTCCAGGGATATGACCATGTTTGTCACAGCATCCAAGGATTGCAGCGCCAAGGTAAGCTCCTGCTTATGCTTTTCTTTGGTTATTTTAATTGCGTTCAGTGCTCAGGCCTTTTTCCCATGTTCCTTTATTCTTTAATATGCCTTTTTTTTTTTTTTTTTTTTCATTTATCTATTATTATTATTATACAGTGTTTATATAGTGCCAAAGAGTTTGCTCAGCGCTGTACAACATTTAGCAGCTGGATCTCATTTTTTTATATTGTGAATCAAAACAAAGAATTAATCCACGCTGTGTTTTCTGCTGACTGGCCACTCTCACCTAGAGGTAGTACAACAAACCTACACAAAAATAAATCCTTAAAGTGCAGTGCCACCAAAATAGTTGTGTAATAACAAACGTGATCAAAGAAATACAGTGTATAAAAATGAAGTAAAATGAAATAAAGTCCGCATGAAATGGTTAAAGTCCCAGTGAAACTCTTAAAGTAATAAATTCACCACCTAGACAGTTGTGATCACTTTTCATATAGTGTAATCGGAGGTCCAGCACTGCCTCCCTGTGAATTGACAACTCACTGGAACCGATGGCTGCCATTACAAAAGCATATGTGCTCATATAATATCTCCACAACCACCAGTGTGTATACAATGTCTCCCAATAACTGCCTTAACAGGCACCTCTTAGCAGGAACAAGGCTGTGATAATGCTCCCCAGGGGCAAAACTAATCTCCAATAGTGTAGTATTTATTAAATTGGCATAAAAACAGTAAAGTTGCTTACATAAGAACCTGCTGACTTGGGATTGCGCTGCAGCGTGATGTCATCACTGAACACTCCTCCCCGCCGCGTTTCATCCTATAGGACATTATCAAGGGTTAATCAAGGTTTGACCTCTAGCTCACTTATATACCTTTTCAGATTCGCCATCTCCAAGCGTAAAATCTGAACAAACTGAAGTTGCGGTTCCGCCATCTTTCTCTAGGTCAAAGAGTAGGAAGACATCCAATAGCCTGGAAACCGTGCCGGAACCATTGTACCCTAGATTTTATATGCAAACCAAAAAAAGTTATTAGGTTGCCATATTAATGAAGACCAAAAAGTAGACGCAAAAAAAAAATCTTTTTATACTTCCCACTTGAATAGAATATGCAAAAAAGTAAAATGTAGAACAAAATAAAATTAATAAAACATGAAAAATCCTGCTGACGGAGAGCGGAAATAGTCATTTACATCTCAAACATGTATTTATTTAATTTTACTTTTTTTTTTTTACACTGTATTTCTTTGATTACATGTTTGTTATTACACAACTATTTTGATGGCGCTGCACTTTGTGGATTGATTTTTAATATTGCTGGAGATCTTTAAAGTATTTGGCCTTTCACCATATGTTCCCTTTCTCCTCTGACACTTGTTGGAGAAGCCACCAACATAAAGGGTAATACGTTTATATATGGTGGGGTTGTAGTAAAGTGCAGCTTTTCTGGTAAGAAGTTTCTCAAGCCTACTGCACTATACAGTATTCACAGCTAACTGTAACCCCTGAGATCACATTATTGTCCAGGCTCTGATAAGTGCATTAAAGCAGACATCTTCATCTTTCATATTTGCATCCTGAGCAACTATGAAACTGTCTTCAGGCATTGGAATTCCACAGAGATTCCTACATTTGCCTCCATTATGAATGAGATAATGCACATGTAGAGTCTGATGGCAAGTGACAACGATCAACACTCAGTTTCTGTTCCATTCAAAGCTTCCTATGGCATTTTCAGGCTTTATCCAACCATTAACTTTCTATTTTACCTGACATGTCCTAGCCTGATGTGTCCACTTGAGACCCATGTGCCCCCACTCCCTCTGGTTCACTAGATCCCATAGGCCTTACACAAATATAACAATTTTGGAGCATTTGTCTGTCACACACCCCTCCTCCCTTTCTTCTTATCACTTTAGCCCCCCCTTCCCAATCGTGTTTACCTTACCTCACCCTCTTTAATCCTTGTGTTCCATTAAACCTCACGTTATTTGTTAGTGTGTCATAATTGCGCATAATCTGCCTGAGTATCCCTCTGTACTGGATTTTCAGAATAACCACAGGATATATAAATGAATTGTTAGGGCTTTAGTGGTTTAACAGGGCACATGTTAAATGAAAATAATCTTTCTGTAACCTTAAGGCCTAGTTCATGCAGAAAAACTGATGGAAAAAATAAGCAGATTTCACTTGCAGACACAAGTTTACATCAGTTTTTGTGTGTCTTTCAATGAGTTTTATACACGTTGTAGGTTCCTGTTTAGAAAGAAATCTGCAAGTGATACTAGTGTTGTGGCGTAAACAGGGCACACATCGAACATTTTTTTTCGCTGTGCCCTTGCAGAATGCATACAGAATAACTCACATCTCTGCACACTGGTGTGAACAAGGCCTAAAACTCAGATCTGCCTAGCTAGATTGTTTGGAATCCCTGCTGATTTTGTACATTGTGCAGGGTTCTAAAATTTTGTAAAGTACTCCATACACACGCCAGGGCCACGAAGGTGCAACTGTATTTTTCTAAGTAGACAGTGAAATATTTACTTTCAATACACTTTCCAGTAACCAATTTCTTATTGTAAATTTTGTAGAATTAAAACTGACTTATCTTTCCGCCGTGTAAAGTAATGAGAGTAATGAGTGCCTATTAAAATAACTGCATAATAAAGGTGACTCTTTGCTAAACCCATGGAAGGCATAGCAACAGGGTCACTTCACCATTTCTAGCAGCACATACTAATCTTTACTTCACTCCCCCTCCACTATTTTCAGCTGTCAAGAGCAAGGAAAGATGGCCCTGTGTAAGCTCAATGCAGACTCCTGGTGGTTGAATAGAGTGGTGGGGGAGTAGAGAGAGCATGTGCTGCTGGATAAAAGAAGAGTTTCAAAATATCTTTTCATCCAAAAAAAAAAATCCCTTACAAAAAAGACCGTGTCATCAAGGAACGCTTTTCATGCTGCACACATAAATAAAATGTTTAGCAATTAATTACACCTCTTATCAATAAAAGCATTGTAGTTGTCTTCAACCTCTGACACTTCTGGACAGCCGTACTACTCCCTTTCCTCCCCTGTCCTTGTTCAGCAAGGTGTCTGGCTACTGCTTCTAGCCCTCTGTGAGTGACAGCAGGGGCATGCTGAGTTCTCTGCCTGTGTAGAGCTTTGGAACTCACTGCTGTTTCTTATAATATTCAGGCATTCACCCTACACACAGCAGCAGACAGTCACCTTGGTGACAGGGCTAGTACAGAAAGTCTGACATTCCTAAAAATGTCAGATGGTCTGTTACTGATAAAAAGGCACAATTATTTGTTATGGCAAGGGCATAATTTTTGCTAATTTCAAACATTCTGTGTGTGAGCATCCTAAAAGTATAATTTGATGACAGTGTTTTCTTTATGTGACCCTTTTGGTTTGCCCTGCATATACAAAGCAGAGCCACTTTAACACTGGTACAGCTCCAGCTTCTGGCTCCTTAAAAGGCAGGAAATCTGGGGAGGGTCATTTCTGTTACAGCGCAGAGCTAATAAAGGCTATTTTGTAATGCTCCTTTTCGGCAAGCAGATATGTGATGTTAAGCACTGATGCTCCTTTTGTAAACATTTTTTTTTTTTTTTTATATTAACATTTGGGGGAAAATTTAAACTTCTTGATGAATTTAATTCTGTAAACCATAGGTCCACAGAAAAAGTATGACATTTGTGTTAACACTATTATCTCAGTTTTACCTTTTGTCATTTTTCTTGGTATTCCACATTGAACGTGGTCTGACACTTACTGAGCAATTTATTAGGAACATCTTACACAAGCAATTCACCAGTCGACCAATCATGTCACAAACCGCATTATACATAAATTCATCAGATAAAGGTCAGCAGCTTCAGTAAACGTTCACATCAAACACCAGAATGAAGGGAAACATTTTGATTATGGTGATTTTGATTGTGGCATGATTGTTGATGCCAGATAGGCTGGACTAATTTTTTTTTTTTTTGTACGGTTGAACTTCTAGGCTTTTTTTGGGAACATTCTCTTGAGTCCATTCAAAATGGTATGATAATAAAAAAAAAAAAATCCGGTGAGCAACAGATTGAAGCACTTTGTTGATGAGTAAGGTCAGAGAAGAATGGCCAGAATGATTTGAGTTGATAGGCTATAGTAACACCTATGACCTTTACAAATTTGAGCAGAAAAGCATCACAGAATGCACAGCATGCTGAACCTTGAGGCTGATAGGCTTCAACAGCAGAAGTTCATGTTGGGTTCTACTTCTGTCAGCCAAGAACAGAAAGCGGAGACTTCATAGGGCACAGGCTCACTAAAACTAGACAGTTAAAGAATGGCCTATTCTGATGAATTTTTGATTTTTGCTGAGGCACAGATGGTAGGCTAGTCACTGGATATAAATAATTGAACACCTTTGAAATCTGTTGGGACAGGAGAATTGCACAACTTGAGTGTGTGTTGAGTGCAAAAGGAAGCTCTTCCTAGTATTTAGTGTTCCTATAAATTACTCAGTGAGTGGCTAGTTATTGAATTTGGCACCTGAACCAATTTTTAGTGCAACTGACTGTTGAATTCCTTTTATTTACAGACAAGAATAAACGGTGTGCATAGCCGCACAAATATTTCTAATGATGATACTTACATTTTGAACTGTGTTCTTTACAGCTTTTTGACAGCACAACATTGGAGCACCAAAAGAGCTTTCGCACTGAGAGACCAGTGAACTCCACAGCCTTGTCTCCAATATATGACCATGTAAGGAATTTTTTTTTTTTTTTTTTTTTTTTTTTCTTGTGTCTTCATTCCTATTCTTGGAAGTACAAGGGTGTACTATTTGTTTCCAGTGAGGGTTATCCCCATTTGCCAGCTATATTTCTATAATCAACATCTGCATTTTCACATAGATGTGAAACCAAGAGCTTTATGTTTACGCAAATTTTATATAGTATTATGTGTATAACCGTGCAGCGCTCAAACTATAAAAAACAACCTCTTGCCAAACAGAAAAAATATGATAATAAGTGAAAATTAAACCATCATAGTGTATAAAAAAAAACTATAATAAAGATCAGATCAGTCCAACATGACGTAATGGAATCGGGAAACCTCAAAGAATAGCCAATGTGACATTATCCACTCCCATGGAAGGCTTACCAGAAGGCTTGTGACCCCCTACTAAGAGTGGTCAGCCAGCGCTCTTTAATGTAATGTTGGTAACATCATGGATATAGGACGGTCCTCCAAAAACAGACCGAGAAAGTAACAGAGAATCGTCTAAACTGCTTCTTTAAATATTAATGGCTCCAGATCCTCCAATATGTATCAATAAAGCTGGAACTTGCAGTAGAATACTTGCAATAAAGAGATGCACCAAATAGTGTAAAACCACCAGTACTGGGAAATTTATTGGATAAGATTGCACTTGCATGATAAGAAGTAAAATCTGCATATACAAATGCCAAAGGAATTCTTTCCAGCATCCAAGATGGCCACCAGCCAGTTGCGCATGTGTTGTAGCATGTGTGCGCGTGGCTCTACCCTACGCATTTCGTAATGTGGCATCATCGGGGGCACGCGCCACCCCACGTTCATAAATAGAGGAAACAGCCAGGGAGGATTGCTACCATAGGTTAACAGACCACAGGGGGAAGTAACCAAACACCTGAGGCCTAATATTCATTCGTTCACAAATAAGGCAGAAGTCCTCTATGGCGCCACCTCGTGATAAAAACAAACTGAAGCCTTTAAAAATAATTACGTCTCCAATTCTACACCCAGCACATACATATACCACAGCGCCATCTTGTGGCATAAAAAGGTGCGTATAATAAACATAAAAAAGAAAAAAATATAAATAAAATTAGAAATGTAAAATTAACCTTGCAGAGATTCAAACTAATAAAGACACCTCTCTATTCCCTCATTTCCTAGTTTTACTGCTACCCCCCTCTAGGGCCTGCCCTGGCAGTTGTGCTATTGTACACTCTGTTAGGGTCTTTTGTGATGCTCACTCTTCGTATACACCCTCCCCCCCATTCCCATCCTTATTGGCCTGCACCTTTTTCCGGTCCCCCTGTCTCCTTGTCCTCCCCACTTTTTCTCCTTTTCTTCTTTCTCCCCCTTTGCCTTTCTTATTCTGCCCCGCCTTCCTCCCCCCCCCCCTTCTTTATTCCCTCTTCCTCTCTCCCTTTCCCATACTTGACCACCTCCTTGCGGTTTCTCTCCCCTTTCCCTCTCTCTACCCCCTTTTCTGCTCCCCCCAATTCTCTCTTCTCCCCCTCTGTCCCTCCTTGGATTTTGGTCTCGGGTTTCACTGTGGTCTACTCAGAATCTCCCATGATGACCATGGATACGATACGTATATCGTCCCTGAATGTCCGGGGCCTTGGTGTTCCTGAAAAGCGCTCTAGACTCCTTTTTGGATTTGAAGAGTGCTCACAGGTGGCATTTATACAAGAGACCCACTTTCAAGTTGCCCACATTCCACGGCTATACAATTGTAATTTCCCCGTTGTATACCACAGTCCTTCACCCATTTCCAAATCGAAGGGGGTGAGCCTTCTATTATCTAAATCTGTGCCCTGGTCCCTCTCTGCAGTGTGTCAGGATCCGCCGGGTCGCTATCTGTTGGTCAAGGCTAAGATTGGTCAATTGGTGGGGACGTTCGCCAATGTCTACTTCCCTAATGCCAATCATCTGCCATTTCTGAGAGGGCTTCCGGTTCTGCTTGACTTCATGGAGGGCTCCCTAGTCTTTGGCGGAGATATCAACTTCGCACTGGAACCACACCTCGACATTTCTAAGGAATCCTCCCATCTCTTGTTCTCCTGTCTTCAGCGCCTGAAGGCTGAACTACATCTACTTCATTTAGTTGACCCATGGCGCATTCTACACCCTAACACAAGAGACTACTCATATTACTCTTCAGTTCATCAGATGTACTTGCACCTAGATTACCTTTTTATTCAACAGAAAGACCTCCCCAGAATTCGAACATCGTTAATTGGAAAACCCTAAAAAAAATTAATTAAAAATTATTTAAAAATAACCCATAGTAATCCTCCTTGGCCAAAACCATTAAGCAAATATATTATGCAATAGATATACAGATATATGAATTATAAAATACAACGCCCACAGAAAGAACCTTTATAGTATCAACACAAAAAATATTTAACTGGTGTTAATAAAGCAGTTAATATCCCACTCTGTTTAAATCCAAAGGGGTATAAGTTTTGAATCGATAAATCCAGCTACTTTCAGCTTTAGAAATACTTCTCTTGGCATTACTGCCTCTCCAGTTAGGTACTTATTTCTCCAATGCAGTGAAAGTAGTACCCACAGGACTAATTATTGTGCTTCAGAGCATAATGCTTAGACACTCTGTTCTTTATAGCCCTTTTTAATGCTGGCAATATGTTCACCCAATCGAATATGTAGGACCCATATGGTGCGTCCAACATATTTTAACCACTTGAGCACTGAGGATTTGCCCCCCTTAATGACCAGGCCTCTTTTTGCTACTCGGCGCTGCACTAATTCAACTGATAATTGCCGCGCAGTCATGCAATGCTGCACCCAAACGAAATTTACGTCCTTTTTTCACACAAATGGAGCTTTCTTTCGGTGTAATTTGATCACCTGTGCGCTTTTTATTTTTCACGCTATAAACAAAAAAAGGCCAAAAATGTTGAAGAAAAACAATATTTTTTACTTTCAGCTATAAAAAATATATAGTAAGCTCAAAGTTGGTTATAAATTTAGGCCAAAATGTATTCTGCTCCATGTTTTTGGTAAAAAAAAATCCCAATAAGTGTATATTGATTGCTTTGTGTGGAAGTTATAGCGTCTACAAACTATGGTATAAATACTGCAATTTACGCCATTTTCCTGCTCTGCTGCGCTAGTTTAACGGACAATTGCGTGGTCATGCAATACGGTACATAAATTAAATTTACATCCTTTTTTTCCCCACAAATTGAGCTTTCTTTCGGTGGTATTTGATCGCCTGTGCCGTTTTTATTTTTTTGCGCTATAAAAAAAAAAAAAAGGCTGACAATTTTGAGGAAAAAAAAAGAATATTTTGGACTTTTTGCTATAAAACATGTCCAGTAAAAAAAAATGCAAAAATCAAATTTAGTCATAAATTTCTGCCAAAATGCATTCTGCGACATGTCTTTGCTAAAAAAAAATCCCAATACGTGTAAATTAATTGGTTTACGTGAAAGTTATAGCATTTACAAATGGTGGGAAAGATACTGGAATTTTTAATTTTATTTATACTAATAATGGCGCCGATCAGCGACTTTTGGCGGCAATCAGCGACATATGGCGGCAACCAGCGACTTATGGCAGGACTGCAGGACTGCGGCGGACATTTTGACACTGGGGGGGAACTGACCTGGGGTCACTGACATCCCCAGTGACACCAATACAGTGATCAGTGAAAAAAAACCACTGAAACTGTACTAATGTCACTGGGGAGGAAGGGGTTAACATTTTTAGAATTTGCTGTGTAAGGGGAGTGTTTTACTAGGGGGCGGGGGTGTGTACTGAAGGGGGGGGGAGGGAGGGGGTAGCTGATCAAGGGAGAGAAACTCTGCAGCTTCTCACAAGCTGTCAGAGAACTGACACAGAACAGGGCTGTGTGTAAACAATGCAGCCCTGCTCTGTGTCAGCGATCACCGTCAATCGCGGGAAAACGGCCGGTAAAAACCGGCCGTGACCCGTCGGCTGACACCCGCTGTTGGGACCCGCGGGACAGGTAGGGCGGGTGCGCGCCCCCTACCTGTTTTAAAGGCAGCCGTTTTAAAACGTGCTTTTGCCTACGAGTGCCGCCCTGCCACCGTTTATATGCGGTGGCTGGGCGGCAAGTGGTTAAGCCACATGGGCACCTCATCATATAAGCCAGGTTTACAGTTGCGCATGAAATGAGAGCATGTTTCATATGTTTTACCAGTTTGCGCAGACACAAAATTGGTTACTTTTTTCTCCTGAAGGAATTTACTTTGACATGCCTTACATTTCCCACACAGATGGTAACCATATTAGGAAGAGAAGTCTGCCTCATCTGTGGATCTAGCACATTTGGTGCCAATTTATTCCTCCGATTACCCCCCCCCCCCCCCCCAATGACAGTGGGATGCTCAGGAAAAACTGGGCCCAAAATACCCCTAAGTGCAATTTTATACAATAAATTTCAATCAATATACATTTCCCAGTACTGGCAGTTTTGTGGAGCAGCTCTTTATTACATGTATTCTACTGCAAGTTCCAGCTTTAGTGATACATATTGGAGGATCTCCACATTTGAAGCGGTTTAGACGATTCTCTGTTACTATCTCAGGCTGTTTTTGGAGGACCATCCTATATCAATGAGGTTGCCAACATTACATTAAAGAGTGCTGGCTGACCGCACCTAGTAAGAGGTTACAAGCCTTCCGGTAAGCCTTCCATGGCAGTGGATGTTGTCACATTGGCTGTTCTTTTTTAGGTTTCCTGATTCCATTTCGTCATGTGGGACTGATCTGATCTGAACTTTATTATAGATTTTTTTATACACTGTTAATTTTCACTTATTGTCATTTATTCTGTTTGGTAAAGGGTTGGTTTTTGTAGGTTGAGTGCTGCACTGTTTGTTATACACATTATTTGGAATACATGGTATCAGGGTATAGTGTCCAGCTGCTATTTGTTTTAGTTTTTATTTTTATGTTTTTTTTCTCTTTGAGCACAGGTGATTGGGTTTACATAGT